GCTCTCCTCATCTTCTCCCCACTGCTCATTCGTGCTGGTCCATGTCCTACCATTGCTTTGCTGCCGGCGCTGCCCCTGATCTCTCCCCACGTTCCCATTTCCACCCCTTACTGGGCAGCTTTTAACTTTCTTTTTTATCTTCTCTTTTTAACTCTCCTTTGAAAGCTGCAGCCAAACACTGAGCTCCTTTGAAGAAGAAGAAAACGTCTCTGTGGGTTGCCCTTTCTCACTGGCTGGAGCTGCGAGAGATCCCAGTGCCCAGCCTGGAGAGGGGAGAAGCTGCTCAGGCACATCCCAAAGGATGCTTCTGGAGGAGATCCAGGACTGGAGGCATCACCAGCCCTCACCTTGCAGACCCCTCAAACCCCCATCAGGACACCCAGGTTGTGCTCCTACATCACTTGGGGGTCTTGGGGACAATTTCTTGTCATGTGCCAAGCTGAATGGGAGACTTTGCAGTGAATTCAGGTGTAACTCGCTCCCCAGGCACCCAAGAGAAGGGGCCAGGGGGACGCATGTGGCACTGTGCTCCCCACTCTCCCCACCAACCTGTCACACCACATCCCAAGCTGGGACCTCATGGATGGGGGACAGGGAGGTAATGGTAGCTCCATCCCACCGGTGCTGGGCTGACACAGCCAGACTGGGGGAGATGAAGGTCCCCAAGGCTCTTTTGTAGGCCAGCCCCTTTCCCTTGGCTGCTCCATCCTCTTGTCCCCCTTCCCCGGATCAATGCAGCCCCAGAGGCTCCATCCCTCCCCAGGCTTGGCAGCACAGCACTGCAGGCCCCGATGAATTACAGCCTCCTGCGTGAGTGGCAGGCATTTCAAGATAGTCCTATTGATTGCATGCAGCCTCCCAAACCCCTGTTCCTGCTGCTGATTTAGCTGGGATGCTTGCGTTGTCCCTTCTCCTGATGACAACCCTTTGATCCGCTCCCTCCCACTCCCTTCAAACAGCCCCCCATCGCCAGGAGAGTTTGTGCTTCAGTGCAGAGGTGCTCTTTTTGGAACATATATTTTTAATGGGTATTTCAGACGTGGCGCAGGCACGAGGGAGGAATTCTCCTGTGCCCTGGTATTTACATATTTTCCAGCATGCACAGCACAGGCAGGGGAAGGTTTCACAGAGGGAGCGCAGCAAACAGGAAGGAAAGAGCTTTGTGCTTTGTATCGCCAGGGCCCAATTACAGCCTGCAAGGCAGGGAGCCCATCCGGGTATTGCCCTCTCCAGCCAGTCCAAGCTGCAATTATAGTTCTCGCCAGGCTCAGCATGATCTGGGGGAAAAAATATCTCAAGAGCTTCAAAACGGATCGCTAGCTCACTCCTCGGGGCGCGGGGATTTTAGGGCACCATCTGCTCGCTCTTCTCTGCCAGCACAGATCCTGAAAACTACTGGGTTTCACCTGGCTTTGGAAGGACGATAAGGGAGGAGAACCCAAATGCTCCCCACTGCCCTGCAGTGAGAGCCAGGAGGCTGCAGAGGTGATGCTGCAGGGAGGGGGCTTCAGGGTGTTGCTGCCAGGGAGGGCTCAGGGTGTGCAGAGGACACAGGAGATCCTGCAGAGCAGAGGTGATGGGAGGTGAGGAGGGAAGCTGGGATGAGGTCCCTGCTCGCCCTGTGTGGGCTGACACCACCGACCTTCCTGCAGACATGGGCATGCCCAGGTACTGCACTGCTGGTGGTGCAGCCCCAGGAGCTGGTTGAGCCCTCTGAGAGCATCTGTGTTGCTGGGAGGGACAGCACAGAGCCAGGTGGATACCCCGGGGTTGGTGACACTTCTGAAGCCACCTTGCAGCCAGTACGAGCCACTCAGGCCACCTACCACCACCCCAAGCTGCTTGCCCCAGCAGGGCAGCTCTGCCCTGCCTCTCCTGCAGGCTTGGTTACCCTTGAGGTGGTCAACACCATGGGGAGAAGGGTGTGTTGAAGCAGAGGATGGTGGCATTGCTGCCTGAGGACCAGGAGAAGCAAAATGGCCAAGGGAACCATCTCCACACCCAGTCCTGCATGCTGCTCCTAGCTGCCTATCATTGACCAAAGAAAGATCCTCTGCCAGTGACAGTGTTTTCCACTTTTGCAGGGCAGTTTCTAGGCAATGCACTGAAAAAAATGAAGCTGCAGAGATAGTAGGAAGAGAGAAAAAGAGCTATATGGGAATACTGTGTATCGTGCTAAACCCAGCAAGCTCTATTTTTGAGACAAACCAACAAATACTTCAGTGGTGCAAGTTTCTCAGCTTAAGCAGCCTCTTGAGTGAGCCAGATTTGACCTTCAGGCACTGGTAGGACTAAATGATGTGCAAGGGTAGGGTTTGTCCCACCAAACAACACACAGGGTACTACCACACTGTGCCCAGGCACATGAGTTCTGTTTTCTCAGAAGCTTTTCCAGCTCTAAAGTCCTGCCTGGCAATTATAAACGTTTTCAGGTCTAAATTTGTTGGCCTGTCTCTAGACATATGCTGTACTATATAATATGGAGCATTTGGGCATAGATTTCCATGCAGCAGCACCGTCTGCTTCTGAGTGCTCATGCTGTGGTGCTCCCCGCTCCTTCAGCACTGCAAAACCTACAGATTAATATTTCCATGTACAGGAGACTGCTCTGCACATCAGGATAGGCAGGGAAGAGGTAAGTCTGAATCCAGAGTTACCACTGCTGGAGCAGAGAGGAAAGGATGCATGGGGACAGAGTGTAGGACACGGTTCATAGTCTGATGGCTCAAGCCAAGGGCTACGCACCCACTTCTCCCATGCTTTCCCCCATAACATTGACCATAGGTGTCCAAACACCACCCATTTTCTTCCCTGTGAGGGTGCTGAGGCTCTGGCACAGGGTGCCCACAGAAGCTGTGGCTGCCCCATCCCTGGCAGTGTTCAAGGCCAGGTCGGACACAGGGGCTTGGAGCAAGCTGCTCTAGTGGAAGGTGTCCCTGCCCGTGGCAGGGGTTGGAATTGGATGAGCTTTAAAGTCCCTTCAATCCAAACTACTCTGAATCTGATTCTAAAATTCAGCTTGCCAAATCTCTGTCTGATGTTTAAAGGCTTTTGGGATGCATCTGGGGGGTTCATCCCCTGCATCTGAGGGCAGAGAGGACCTCTCTGGTGGCAGTGGCATGAAGAAGGAGGGTGATGCTGCAGTTGCCAGCACAGAGAATGGGGTCCAGTCCCTGGATCAGAGAGGTGGTGAGGGACAGCTTGGGAGCCAGGTTGGAGATGTCCCTTCCTATGCTGTCTTGTATCTGGAGAGCTCTTATCACAGCACGGATAAGAGGGAGGGTGTACAGTACCATGGTTCCTGCTTTGGCGATGCTCCCAGCAGCTGCCATCTCTGCAGAGAGGCAGAGCCTGTACACCCCAGCATTTCAGTACCCAACATGGTGTCAGTCCCCACTGACTCCATCCCACCAAGTCGCAGCCAGATTTGCCCCTCTTTGCAGGAGGGAGACACATGCTGATCATGGTGTCCAGCACAAGGTCTCCACCACCTTGTCAGCTGCCTCAGAGCACTGTGTAGGATGGGGAGGCTGGGGTTATCTGGCTCATTGTTGTGTTCTGGGCCTGCTGGAACCATAACTGGTAGTGATGGCTTGCACGTCCCTCCTGATGAGGCCTCACAGCACAGGAGACCCTGTGGTCCTCAGGCCAGGCAGGTGTGAGATCAGAGCCATTTCTGTGACCATCCCAAAAGACCCATCACTAGGAGCCTTCACCCCTGTTTTGGGGCTAATGGGACCCCCAACCACACAGTATGAATTGTCTCAAGCCTCCATATCAGGAGTTTTCCTTGTTCTATCTACCAGGAAGCTTCTGCTGCTCCAAGTCCTGGACCAGGTCCCTGTACCATTGAAACCCCTTCCAAGCCCCAGACACCATGAGTGGCACCACGTCTGTTGGCTCACCCTGCACGTGGAACCACATGGGGATGAAATCCCCAAGCCCCTGGCCCCCACCTCCCCTACACACTGCTGCCCCTAAAAAGCCAAAGCCTCATGCTGAGCTCCCAGCCTCTGGAGAACAGCCAGGAACCACTTCCAGACTGCGTCACCGTATGCATGGCCTCTCTCGGGCTATATATAGTTGTGTGACTGCAGGTTTTTCTGGACGTCGCCTTGCTAAAGAGCTAGCATTCCCCAGCCAAAGCAGTGCAGGTCCCTCAGGGATACTGAACTGGAAGCGGGGAGCAGTTCTGAGCATCCCCAAGGTGAGGTTTGCCTCGCTGACAGGTATCTGCCCTTCAAAGAACCAGCACGTTTAGACCTCTCTGTCTCCTCAGCAATGCAGTGCTGGGGAGTTTATGTAGAGCCAATTGCATTTTGATGTTGCCAGCAGATCTGGAGAGGATGTGAACCTCAGTGCCAAAAGCTGCCTTGCAAAGAGGTCACAGAAGCAGAGAGAAACCACTGCTGTACTGCGCATCGCATCCCCAGCCTCTGTGGCGTGCAGGTTGTTTATGAGCCTGAGTCCATCGGCACTGACTCAACCACTCCAACATCCCTCTCTTCCCCTGGAGGCCCCGAGGGCTCAGGGCTGGCCTGCAGCACAGCAGGGGATGGCATGACTGCATCTCTCTGCATTCCACTGGGTCCCTTTGGTTTAGGCACAGCCCAGGCGGCTGCCAGACCTTGTGAGTCTCCTGCTTCGCTCTGATACCTGGGAAGATGCTGGGATGGGAAATATAACCAGGAGATGCCATGGGTGGGGATGGGCTCTATCAAATCCAATGTCCTAGCTCAGAAAAAGGCTGCTTTCAGACATTTATAGGAAGGTGGAAGAGACCCTATGAATTTCCTCTTTCCCAGAGGAATTACGGGCACTTTCTCTCCAGGCACTGCTCTATCCCTATGCACTGTGAATTATTTTAACCCTGGCTACCCCAGACCAGACTCCAGTGACCCAGATCCAGCAAGGCATCCCAAAGCAACACACAGTCATTGTATGACCCACTGCTCTTCAGGTCACTGTGTCCTCACGCACCAGCTTCTGCAGCAGCTGTTGGTCAAGTCTACCGTCTACCTGACCTTCCTGCTCTTCGCTGTGCCCATCATCATGCCAACTGCTTCATGCAGCCATGCTGTGAACAGCACAGTGAGATGACTGAGACTAAAAAGCAACACCAAAAATCACCAGAACGGAAGAAGCCAGTGCATGGTGACCCATGGCCATAGACATGGCTTAGCCACTTCCAGCCTTCAAGAACTCAAATAGCTGCTTGTTGGAGTTAATCATGTGAGGAGGTGGAGCAGTCCTGGAGTGTTGCCCTTCTATGAGCTCATCCGTGTTGACCTCATCATAGTGCCACAGAAGAGTTCAGGTTGGAGAGGACCTCAGGAGGTCTCTAGTCCAACCTTCTGCTCAAAGCAAGGTCAATGGTAAGATCTCATTGTCCACTGGCAGCTTGGCAACCTCAGAGGATGGAGACTACAGCTTCCCCAGGCACCCTGCTGATGCTTGACTGCCTTCAGAGGGGAAAAAATGTGTCTTTATAGCCAGTCTGAGCTTCTCTTAATTCAGCTTATACCCAGTCTCTCTTCCTCTCTGAAGAGTCTGGCTCTGTCTTCTTGATAACCTTCTCATGGCACTGGAAGGTTGCCATTGGGTCCCCTCGAGTCCTTCCCTTCTCCAGGATAAATCTCTCACTGTTTTTGTCCTTGCCATCCTCTCCTGAGGATGAGAGGAGGCAGCAGTCCTCCCCAGCTGCCCTGAGCTCTTGTGATGCTCTTCACCCCAACCCCACTAACCATGGTGGCAGAGGAGCAGATCCCATCCCAGCAAAATCTGGGCTGCTCCAAGAACTGGGAACAATAAATCAACTGAATGAGCTCGGTCCAAGATGTTCCCATTCCTTTGCTGACACATGATAACACAGGGCTATGAATACACCTACTCTGGAACACCTCTGAAGGTAAAAAAGGCGCTTTCTGAAAGAGGTCAACTGTCTCTAGGGAAGCAGAGATGTTTAGCAGGCAAAATAACGGAAAAGGAGCCTGATGGGTCTCAGGTAAATCCCTTAATCACACTGTGCCTTCATTTTCCATACTACTGCTGCAGAAACCAGTGGCTGATGCACTAAGCATCTGCACAGAAAAGCAGTGCTACCCAGTCACCTTCTTCCTCTGGCTGAACTGTGTCCCATGCTCTGATTTCATAGTCCCACAGCATAAGCCAAACCCAAAGTCAGTCCTCACACAGTTAAGGCTTTTAAGAAGGCAAGCTACATTTTTTCCCAGGTTGAAGACAGGTTTAAGAGGAGTTGCAGACATAGAAGTTGGCTACATCCATCAGAAGCAGCTCCATGGATCACCACTATCAACCATGAGTCCCTCTGTCTACGACAGTGTCCCTACAATGTCTCCTCAACAAACACTGGCTGAGGTTCCCTGGTTCACAGAGATGGCAGTACCAGACATGACAGCTATAGACAGGTATGTAGGATACTGTAAGTGAGCAGGGACACAGGTGTCCTTTCTATGGATGGGAACAGGCAGTTGAGAGCAGTTCAGAGAACAGGCATCATGAGGAGGACCAGGAGATACCCAGAACCAGACAGAGCAAGAGGTGACCATGAGCTTTGGATCTGCTGGAGGTGACCAACTTCCATGACAAAAGGCCAAAGGTGAGAACAAGCCAGGAAGTCTTTGGAAGTCACCAGCAAGACTTAAAGAGGGTCAGGAGACCATAGGTCTCATCTTGAGCTATTCATTAGCCACAAGGACTCTGGCCTTTCAGCCAGACTAATTACTGATTGCTCAAAGGAGAACACTTCCCACAGCTGCTAAACTTGCTGACGCTGGGCCCTGGATATCTTCTATTCTGGGAAGGGGGAGTGGAGTCTCCTAGTGTGAACTTGTGGAGCTGGGCAAAGCCACACTGGAGCAGGGATAAAGTCAAGGACAGCTGCAGCTGCTTGGCAATCATTCAGGATGAGCCACGAGTCAGTGACTTGGCTATTCTGGGACGAGCTGAGGAGCCAGCGCTGGGGAGAGCACATCCCTGCTAGCACATACATGGACTGCAGCGAGCCGGAATCCGAGCAACGCCCTGCATGGAGGCAGAGCTGATACGTGTTTGTCGGAGACCTACACAGCCCTGGTCACCAGTGGGGAGCCATGGCTGCGTATGACATGGGATTTACCCACCACATCTCACTGGTCTGCAACAAGGAGATGCCATGTGTGGTTCCCAAAAGTCACAGAAACAAGTGCTTCAAGGACTTTCCAGCGCCCCCCAACTTACCTCAAATTGGAGCAAAGCCTTAGCCTAGGGCTGGTGTGCCTGAGCTCAACTGCTGCTGATGCTTGCCGTGAACCTGGTGGTTTCCCAAGTAGGAGTTTATTGGGGATGGGGTGTTTCACTGGATGAAATTCCCTTTGATATTCCCTGAATGTGAAACCAGTGACAAGAGAAATCCTCTCAGATCTCTTCCTAAAGATGGAGCCTGAATGGTTTATGTGCTGCATTTTCCAGCTTTTGGGTAAGGTAGCACTAGGACTGGATGCAGAGATGTGCTTCAGTGAAAGTCTGTTCCCTGCCTCCAGTATTCCCATTCTGATGTGGAACAGCAATGGCTGGGCCTGACCTGACCCCACCACAGAAGCCCATTGCAGCTCCCCTCCAGAGCTGCAAGACTCAGCTAGATAATTAAGCTCTTTGCAAGCTCACCCAAAGCCTTTTGAGGTCACCCATTGCATATGCTGGAAAGCAGATATGATCTCATTAGGCAAATATTTATGATCAATATTGTCCACTCACTGGCAATGACTAGCATCACTTGGAGCAAGAAGCTCTCCAGGGATGGTTAGAAAGGATGTGGGTTGACAGGAGAGCCTGGGTTGAGAGTAAACCTTTGCTCACCTGGCTTGAAAATACCTGCATTTATTCAGAATATCTTTTTCACCATTCACCAGGAGATTAATTAACTGCATGGAAACCCTGGCCATTAATTATTGATTATGCAAAAGATTTTGTTCATCACAGTTGCTGAGCTTGCCAGTGCTGGGGGACCAGACGGCTGAGGACATCAGGATGGAGGAGAAGTCTGCATGAGCCATGGAGAGGGGATTTGCCACCTGCTTCCCATGGCGGGACTCTGCACTGCTCAAAATTGGTCTATGAGAAGCTCCCCATGACCCAGCTTCAGTGTGCACTCGAGCCCAGAACCCCCTGTGTGCTGGGCTGCACCCCCAGAGTGTGAGCAGCAGTCTGCTCCTCTGCTGTGCTCTTGAGAGACCCCCCCCGCAGTCCTGATCCAGCTCTGGGGCAACAGCACAAGAGGGATGTGGAGCTGTTGGAGCAAGGCCAGAGGAGGCCACGGAGATGCTGCCAGGGCTGGAGCAGCTCTGCTCTGGAGCCAGGCTGAGAGAGCTGGCCTGGTTCAGCCTGGAGAAGAGAAGGCTCCTGAAGGGGAGACCTTAGAGCAGCTCCAGTGCCTGAAGGGGCTACAAGGATGCTGGAGAGGGGCTCTTCATCTGGGATTGTAGCAATAGGACAAGGAGTGATGGGTTCAAATAGCGGAGATTTAGCTTGGATATTAGGCAGAAGCTCTTCCCTGTGAGGGTGCTGAGGTACTGGCACAGGGTGCCCAGAGGCGCTGCGGCTGCCCCATCCCTGGCAGTGTTCAAGGCCAGGCTGGACACAGGGGCTTGGAGCAAGCTGCTCTAGTGGAAGGTGTCCCTGCCTGTGGCAGGGGTTGGAACTGGAGGAGCTTTAAGGTCTCTTCAGCCTAAACCAGTCTGGGATTCTGGGATTATAAGAAGGGCCCAAGCATGGCAGCGAGAGCCCAACTCAAACAACACTTGCCTGGTGAGGTGACAGGGAACTGAGGCAGAGGACAGAGTGACCCATCCAAGCAACAGATCCAGGGCCGCCTGCACCCTGGGGGTCCAGAGCGGATGGACGGAGATGCCTCCATGGGAGATAATTCCTCCTCACCCCCTTCCTGCAGCAACACGCTGGCTCCACGCGCACAGGGTGCAGAAGGTGCCGGCAGGCTCCTCTTTGCCCTGGCTCCGCAGGCAGAGGAGCCGGCAGGCAGGATGAGAGGTGAGCTGCAGGGAGCCGCGGTGGCAGTGACAAACCTCCTGCAACGCCCGGCAATTAATCTTGTGAAGCAGTGAGTCAGAGTCACCCGGAGCGTCCTCCCCTCACCCAGAACCAGCCGCCGCCGTCTCCCGCAGCTCTCGGCTCCAGGGACGTGCAAATGCCACCAGGCTCCGGGAAAGGGGTTTTTCTGTGCTGTGCTATCAATTGAGAGCCCTGCCTGCGAGGAGGTGCCTGTTCCCCCTCCAGATCCATCTGCTGCACCAAAAGGAAGGGAGACCCACCAACAGCCACATGCACCAGCATATCTCAGCACAGGAGCAGGGTGGTTTAGTTCCAGCTTCTTTGGCCGCCGGGATGCCATCCTCATGATAAAGCTTCGTATAAAGAGGTGTCAAAAGCGAGAGAGCTGGAGGACTGAAGGCATTTAAATAAAGACCCAGGGAAGGAACGGGCAGGCTGGGGGTTTAACTCACACCAGGAGAATGCCCCAGTGCATTCCACCACCCTACCCCCCCCCCCCCCACGCAAAACTGCGGTGCTCCCCAAAGTTTGCCAAAGCTTTCCCAGGGAGCAGCCTCTTCCTGCCTTGCCCTAGGCATGAATGCAGTTTGCAGTTTTAACAGCAGATGTCTCTCCTATTATGATTTATAAAAATGCTTAAAATAAATAATGCAAACATATTTACAGGAATGAATTCCTGCTCCTGAGCGCGTTTGTCACTCGGAGGCTCCGGAGCAGGAGCCGCTCGCTGCCTCCCCCACAGCCCCTTTGCCGTTTCCCCTCCCGCCGGCACTGCGGCTGCTGCCAGGAGCCCAGGGCAGGGTGGCCAGATCCCAAATCCACCCCCCGCACACACGCACACTCCAACCCCCAGGTCTGGGCCCGCACCAGCATTTCAATCCTAACGTTGTATAATCAACGTGTTAAATATTTAAGCCGGCCGCGCAGGAGAGCTGCCCGGCGGTGCCTGATTT